AAGTCAGATGATGATGTACTTCTAGCAGGATTCCATGTGAGTAGTTGACTGAACAAGCCGTCAATAATCGACCGTCGTTTATACAATCATTACTAATTATCAGTTACTATATGTAATGGCTGATAAGTTCGTCTGTCGTAACTACTGATTTTCAGCTAACCAAGGGATCTAAATATCCAAAATTAGCTTTTATATGAATTCTCACATACAAACCTCAGTTGAATGTCAAACATAAAAGTATCATCTGTGCTGTGCTCTCTGAATTTCAGTGATTCACTTGATAATGAAAATCCAATTAAGTGCTGATACTGCACAAATGTCGTTTCTGATAATTTATAACAATCAAAAGTTGCAGAGCATTATTCTTTCATATTTTTTTATATGATTTTACAATTTACCAAACCTTTACGATGTATTGTTGTATGCAGGAAAAATGTTCTGAGAAAAATGTGTATAGGAATCTGGAATATAGCAGAACATAAGAATAGAATTGAGACAATATGAATACTATACGCATTTACATTTAGTAATGAAAGCGTTTACTAAGGATAAGTGACAACATAAGCTTAAAATCAAGATAATCTGATGATCATATTTGGAAACTGATAGAATAAGTTTTTGAATGCACCACTTAATAATTGCCCGTCAGATAAACTTAAAACACGAATGCATTATCATTAATATCACTTTCACATTTATGCATAAACCATAATTTTTAGTGATTTATCAGCATAGGTGATTTGTGGAGATTGTAGAATTTTTATAGTTTAAATCACAAATTGATATTAGCTAGACCATCATTGAAAACCTGGGAGCCCTGAATAGCCGTTTCACTGTAATATGGGAATCCCCAACGATGAAAAGTTATGACCCCTCACGTGAGAATTGTTCTCGCGCGAGTTCTTCAAATTGTGAAATTCCTACAATCTTTACAAATCTCTCAAACTAATAATAACCACGTGCTTACTAGCGACTAGCTTTAAGATGTAACTCCTTGGTTTCTAGTGGGAAACCGTGACCGGTAGAGATCGATCCATGTAGGGTATGAGACAATTATTCCCCTCATGCAATAAATTAGAGTTACTCATTATCGTAAATCGATTGAAGTTAGACAATAATACCACTGGATTCTAGTTTAATAGTCTGGAGGTTAGGCAATGTCGCGCGAGAGTGTAGTCCTGAATTTGTTTCCCGTTCGAGGGGTCGTAAATTTGCGTTAATGAGGAATAGTATAGTGGGATGAAATGATTGTCAAATACCTCCAGCATTCCCATGTCGGTCTAGCTAAGATCAGTTCGTGATAATTCTTGAACCTACACATTGCTTTAATAAGGAGTTACTATTTGGATATTTCTAACTCAAAAATTCAACATTAAAGTATAGCAATGTGGAGACATTTATTTTATTGATTACATTTTAAATTGGATTAGTAAAACCCAATAATCATTTGAAGCTAAACCACTGCTCCCTAGCCAATTAACATAACCGGAATCGTGGATGCACACTGCCGAGGAGTCCCACAATAGGACGAAACGGCCGTCCAGTGCTTCCAGGTTTTCTATGGTGGTCTAGCTTCAATTGACTCATGTTCTCAACCAATGAAATTACTATAATATCTACAAAACCCCTTCAGTTCTAACCGATTTTTTGGTATTAAAACTAAGAGCAAAACATTCCTGTCCATTTCCTTAACCATTTGTCAGATTTTTAAATTGTTCATAACTTCCTATGAATGATTCATATTACTAATTTCTTACAATTTTTAAAATGAATGCACAGAGTATTCTAACTTCAAGTTACATTGTATTTTACAATTATGGCTCTATGGATTTGGGTGACATTTGGTGCTCACTAGTTCAATATCTCAGTATAAATTTATTCACCTATCTGACACCATTACATTTCTGTATAAATACTTTACGTCGTCAAAAAGATTTCTCGCAATACTAAATTTGCATAATCTACAATCATGCAGCCTAATAAAAACAACATATCTATAATTTCGTTACTGATTACTGAGTTCAGGCAAGGTTTTTCGTTAGTTTCAAAAGAAACATTCCGCTCCTACAAAAATATCCTTTCAAATGAATGTATATGAACCTAGAATTTTATGGAATTTACCAAGTATTTATTCCAACTGTGGGCTGAAGGTATTTGAGTTCAAACTTAATTAATAATTCATTAGTAAATTGTCAGGAGTGGGGTATGATAAGTATCAAGTAATCTCTAAGTATAATTTATTAACAGTCTTCTAGATATTTTATCCTCTCAATATAGCGCGAACGACACAAAAACAACACGAACATGTTAACTGAACTGTTGACGACATCAGAACGGGATCTAAATCTTCGTTACATTAAAATAATCAGAGACTTTATCATTCTGGTCATTAAAAATCGTCTCCCACAAGATTATAGTATGGACGTTTCATATTATTTGCAACTCGTTAGCTAAATGTATCTACACCCCAAATTTGATGCTCACATTGGAACTAGAACCCAATGCTCTACGAATCAAATATTAATGCGTTTTTTTCAACTATTGTACCACAGAGTTCGTATATCTATTGATTTTTGTTCAACAAGTGTGCTATTTATATCATTATTAGGAAAGATTTAAATTATTTCATTATTATTTAAAGTAAAATGTTTTGCGTTCGAATCTCAATGTAACTAATAACATTGAGATTCAGGTTCATCCATTTGACAAGTGCTAGAAGCGGAAGAAACGCTTGTTCTTGATCTTATTGTTAATCACAATTCACCAATGAATATATTACTTATTTAGCATCAAAAAAGGCTTTGTGTAGATTGTAGTAATTTCAGTAGTTGCAATTATAAGTCAATCGAAGCTAGACCACCATGAAAAACCTGAAAACACTAGACGGCCGTTTCGTCCTATTGTGGAACTCCTCAGCAGTGCGCATCCACTAGTGACGGGCCTCAACATGTATTTCCTGAATTTCTAGTGAGAAGCAGTGACCAGTGGAGTTCAACCAGGTCAGTGGTGAGTTAGTAACTCACTGGAGACAATGGTGGATGTGTGGCTGAATTTCGTGGATTACTTGAAGTTAGACAATAACATCGCTGGATGTCAGCTGGCTTAGTGGTCTAATGGTTAAGCTCTCCCGCGCTAGTCTGATGGTCCTGGATTCGAATCTCGCGAGTCGAAATTGTGGATGCGCACTGCTGAGAAGTCCCACAATAGGACGAAACAGTCGTCCAGTTCTTCCAGGTTTTCCATGATGGTCTAGCTTCAATCGTATCACGATCTCAACTATTGATATTACTTATTTGATAATTGCAATTTTTATTTTGGCATTGTTCATTATTCACATTATAATCAATAAGTATATTGAATTATCCAATATTTTCCTGTTTACTGATTAATTTACAAATTTTTTCATTGTATTTATAATGTGGTAAATTTGTGATTTACACTTCTTAACATTCTGAATATTACAATTCTAAAGTGAAACTAAATACTGGAAAAAAGGTTGACAAAACACAAAATGGAAGGTCAATTGAGATAAATAATAACAATAATAATGATAATAATAATAATAGTATTAATAATAATAATAATACAGATTAAGACCATTACCAAATTAAATATGAGATAATCTTATTAAACAGAACATTATTGCAAAAGTTCATTTAATAATGGTTCGAGATTTTTCCAACAGTACAAATACTTAGACATCATACATATTAAAATTGTAAATATAGGACCAAACGCACGTTCTGGATTCCACTGCTAGCCACTATCCATCTTTGCTTAAAAAGCTTGTGACTTAAAGCTATATCGAGACAATCCGCACAGGATGCATATATGCCAACATGAGACTTTTCACTTGCAGTCTTAAGAAACAATGGAAGATACAAGTAAAACAACACCAAGTGAATGTAAATATTCTGGTTGAGATATAAGTATTTATTCCGGTTATTCTAGATTTTTTATGATTTTCTAGTCAATATCATTTAACAATGAAGGCTTATTTACATTTTTTTAATAAAAAAATACATTATATGCCACATCAACGCTTATCTCAACGCTGGATGTTGGATGATTAATTCGAGAGAGTAAAGAGGAGGACTAAACCAATACTTGTTATCGGTTCATGAGGTCATCCACGTTGATGGATTGTGACTACCTAGTTGAAGTTCACACGGTTATCATAACCAACGGTTGAAGAAATTAGGTAATATTTTTCAAATCCATTGATTCATTGTCTTCTCATAGGTCCTGATTTTCAAAATTGTTTTGTTCATTCTCGCTTTTCAAATTATATTATATGCGTCAAATATTTTCGGCTATCACTGATACTACTATGTCATTCGGCTTGATGATTTTGTGTCCGTATTCTGATATAGAATAGTAACTTGAGTTGACTAACACATACACCGCTTGTTTAGGACTGATCGATTGGAGTTGAAACTAACTTATCATTTAAATTGAATCGTATCATATTATGTTTCTTTGTTACATAAAGGCTTAAGCAAAACTAAGTCACTTTTACAAATCACCGATTTTCTAAATCAATATTTACTATTATTTGATTGAATTTAAATATTGTTAGACTACTCTTCTGACTTTTATCTTGGAGATTAAATAGTTTTTTAAAATGATCTCCATCATGAAATGGCATTAACTTTTAAACTGTTGATAGCCAAAAGACCAGCTAATTTCTTCTCATCTAGTACTCCGTAACAATGACCACTTAATATGCTGCTAGAGATGGAACCCAAAGTATTAGGGTCTTTCAGCGAGTGCGTCAACTTCATTAGATTTTGAAGGTACATAATTTAATTTATTATCAGTTTATTTTTATACTTTGCTGCGTTACAACATACACTCTAATCCATCTACTGATCGCGAATAAGTAAATTGGTCAGTCAACATAATTTCTGAGTAATTGACTCAGTGGTATCAAAACACGTTGCTGAATATAGTCGTGAAAACGAAATAAATCATGGGCTTGGCGTATTTCGACCTTCGATATGACAAATAAGTCACAAACACCACTTCTTATGAATGATAACTTAACCCAGAATAGTTCTAATCAATACGATGATGATGATGATGATGATGATGATGATGATGATGATGATGATGATGATGATGATGATGATGATGATGATGATGATGATGATGATGATGATGATGATGATGATGATGATGATGATGATGATGATGATGATGATGATGATGATGATGATGATGATGATGATGATGATGATGATGATGATGATGATTGGGATGATGATGATGATGATGAGATGATTGGGATGATGATGATGATGATGATGATGATGATGATGATGATGATGATGATGATGATGATGATGATGATGATGATGAGATGATGATGATGATGATGATGATGATGATGATGATGATGATGATGATGATGATGATGATGATGATGATGATGATGATGATGATGATGATGATGATGATGATGATGATGATGATGATGATGATGATGATGTGATGATGATGATGATGATGATGATGATGATGATGATGATGATGATGATGATGATGATGATGATGATGATGATGATGATGATGATGATGATCAAATAACTATGGTGTTTGTTTGTTTCCTTAAGAAAATCATCTATTCACGAGGTTGTCTTTTTGTTCTTAAATCCAACTGTAATAATCCAGATTTTGAAAATTTTTTATATCATCTATAGCCCCATCTTTTATAATATGCATGATTCACAACTCATTAGTGCATTTATCTTCGTATGTTGTATAATAAAATATCTTTATAGTTGATAATTATTGATTCATTATTGTATACCGATAATAAAACGATTACTTCATCGACCAATAATTTCAAACTTATCAATCAATATTCCATTCGTAGTATTCAGTGCATTCATTTATAAAATATCTAATTATGATTACCTAACCCATAATTTAATAAGTATCCTTAAATTGAAAAAATAATTATTGATCATTTTAAACTATTTGGTTCCTTTTTATAAATTTACACCATGCATTGTATTCTGTAAATGCTTTTATTATTACCTAATTTAAACAATAACATAAATTGATCATTTTAAAACAGTTATAAATAAAATACATTCTCATATTTTAGTTTATCAATATTATTAATAGTAGTTACAATTGATTGATCACTTGATGATGATTAATCTCATGTATGTCAGATCATTTTTAGTGTAAATCGAATCCTTGTTAACGAATATCGAATAGCATGAAAAATTAGATTCAGAGTTTCCTGTCGACTACCTCCTACCACCATCTTAGTAATATTAGTAGAAAATTAAATTAAGGACAAGAAGATTAATCACAAAACTATTTGTCTAGTGAGATTAATAACTCTTCAGTGAATTTGTAATGTATTTGTCCTTTCATGTTCAGTATGTGTGAGTTATCAACTATTTCCGGGCATATTTCTGTTCAGTTCATTGTTGAGTGCTCCATAAAATAGAAAAATGTTGACTGGGAATTTCTTTTCAAGCTCTAACTCTCACTAAGTTATTTTTTTCATCAGTCAAGTTGAGATGTGTTACAGTAATATGTTCATAGAAGATATATTTAAATAGTTTGAAATGATTGAGATGAAATCCACAGAGAAAACTGAACTCTTATATGCAGCAATGACAACGGAGGAATAGTCAAAAAATGCTGAATATCTCACTTTTATTTATCATTGTAGAAAGCTTGATTACCCTCACATATATTTGATTCATACAATACAAGTTTGTAGGGGGAAGTAACACTCGCCACAATAAATTAAGAGTATGTATTACAATTGTGAAATGATGAATGAGTGAATTTCACTATATTAACTTGAAAGATATATTGCTTAAAGTATAAAATCAAGTCATATCGTTATTCTTACTATTATTTTTAGAAAGCTAGTTGGACAAACAAGAGTTAATTATCTATCTATATATCGTTTCTCTCACTCTGTCTCTCTAGCTAAGTTTAAATAGTGAAACTCACCAAAATAGTATAGGACAGGCAGCGGTCACAGGTGCGGAGGTGTAGAGAAAAGTCGAAGAGAATATATACATCATAAGTATATACACATACTCTTTCCATTTAGTTATCCCTATAAGAACTTAAACAACTAGAGACATATATTTTCAGATAACATGTGTTTGTATATTATCTGTGTGGACATATTTATCAATAACATGTATTATTAGGTGATTACGAGTTGTTTCATCAATGAAAATCCACTAAATATACTGGAAATAAATAACGGTAAAAAAAAACAATAATAACTTGAGTTTATAATGTTAAATACGTGAGTCGTTTGATTGAGACTTCACTTGTAAATTAAAGCAGCTAAACAGATTTGAAGTACTTATATTTACAGATGATTATTGGTACGGATTTAAGTTATCTGATTGTTAATATTCAGGACTGAATTTTGATCAGTCTCTGTTTGTATATACGCATCATATGTGGATTGCATCTATTTATTCATTTTGTGATAAATTTAATGAAATAGGTAGATTGTATTTGTCGGAGGAATCTAAAAATAAACTTATTTAATTTGACATTATTTAGATAGTTTTAGGTACATCCTACTCTTAATGTTCACACTGCATTTCCAACTCAGTACCTTTTGATTCAAATGCCAGAGTGTAATAACGACATGAACATCATACCTGTTAAACTTGTTAGTAAATATCTGAACACAGTAACTCAGTAGATAAAGCACTGGCGTTTGAATTAGACTATATATTATTCTAGTCTCAAAGTGACACATCAAAATCGGTTTGTCTAGTACTACCAGTCCAATTTCAGATAACATCGTACAATTTGATTTGATGGACGCAATATAACTGATTGAGTTATTGGGTTTGCTGACTTCTGAGGCGGGGTATGCTTTAATGATATTATCTAGGTTGACAGTGAGACGTTAAATTGTTATTGTGTACCTGGACTTCTAGTCAGTTCGGGTTGATATTCGTCGTTACCATCGATTGCTAGGTATACATTATACCACAGGCCAACAATAAAAATCGTTGAGCAAACGTTTTTACCAAGACTTAACTATTGAGCATACAAGCAGCTATTTACATCATTGTATTTTTAAACATTACCCCTCGAGGCTGATCGAATGACAGAAGAAAATATAAGAAGATCAGTTTTGCCACATTTGGCAGATATCAGTCACAATATCGACATAAAGTTAGCATCTAACTCCCGTCACACATCTCAATATCGTCATCTACCTATAGCAGAAACCAAAAAGTACATATTAATAGACCCAAGATTCAAGTACAGAAAATGTCTATACCCTTTCAATTTTCCAAAACCAGCTTCTTCATTTTAGTTATCGCATTTCTCACGAATTTCTAAATTTTATCCATTTTTTTTCATTTTATGTGATCCATTTATCTTAATAATCTAATTACGTAATCATCTTTGCATCAGTTTTATCGATGATGTATGTATGATTAATTCTGTAAATTACAATCAATGTTTATGTTCAACTCCTTAATTTCAAAATTACATAACCATTTGTAATGACAAACCTCTTACGCAATCCTCCTTTTAAATTTATTTTAGTGTCCATTACGTATTAATATATGAGGATGAAGAATCCTGGAGCGGCCTCCACAAGGGGTAACAGGTGTAAATAAGTAAGTAATATTACGAAATGAAAAAATAAATAAAACGAAGTCGATGATGTAATCAATCTTTGTTTTTGATTGAGATCTTGAACCGAATGATGTAACACCGCCATTGAAAACCTGTAAACACTGAACGGCCGTTTCATCCTATTGTGGGACTCCTCAGTAGTGCGCATCCACGACCTCACTCGCGGGATTCGAACCCAGAGACTTCAGTCTCGCGTGCGAACGTTTAACTTATTTAATCACTGAGTCGGCCGGCATCCGACGGTGTTAATGTCTTACTTCAACCAATCCACGAAATTCAGCGACCATCTTCAATTGTACTGAGGTAGATATCTGTCTCTATCCAACATGGGAATAACTCTACCGATCGCAGTTTACTCAGTAGAACTCCGAGAATTATTTCAAGAAGTTAGTCACTAGTGAGATACTAACTAAAAAAGTATATCACTTCAATTGATTTATATTCCTAAATAATTATTCAAGAATATTTAAGTTATTTATTTCATGTAAATTAATCCATAATTCGTAGACTGTAGATATTTTTTTTTGATTTCTAAAAAGCTTTGGATTAATTCATTTTTCTAATGAAGTTTAATTGTTTGTTTGTTTGTTTTTTCTGACAAATAATCGAAAGTGCATATATACACATTTAGTCTAGATCCCTTGAAATTAGGCCTATTGATCTAACCTACTTGTTTTAAGCAATAATATCTAAATTTGAACTACAGTTTAGATTGAAATACAAAAAAATAAAATAAAATAAAATAAAAAATAAAAACAAAAAAAATATGTTGTACAATGAACTAAAATTTAGGATATATAAGGTAGGTTTTAAAAGAACAATGGAAAATTTAGGATCATTTTGGTACTAATTATTTATCAGTAGTAAAGTGTATTTGTATTTCTAAAAGAAATAACGTAAATCTTTTAAATATGGTTTACGATTCAAAACGTTTTGCTTTTGATATTAGGGCATTTATTAATAATCTTTAGCTACTGTGAGAAGTGTAGAGTTATTTCTCAGTGAATTGTTATCTAAATATTTAAATCTTCAGTCGCGTTCAATTTTATAATATAGTAAGATCATCATTTATTAGTGCTGTTGATAATTGTCTCTGTTTTTAATTGGTTATTACTAGGACTAGATATTTATTTAATGTTTCTTGATTCTAAGTACTTTCTGGATTTTTTATTGAGATCACTATCCTATGTAAGTTAAACAACCAGTGAAAACCTGAAAGCACTAGACATACGTTTCTTCTTAGTATAGAATTCCTAATATTCGTTATCCATAAACTTACAACCTGGAATTGAGCGAGCCCAAAGAGTCAATCTTTCGCGTCAATACTTAACTTTTAGACCAATAAGTCAGGATCCAATGGCGTATTTGACATTAGTCCATGAAAACAATAAATAGATTAGAAATTAGCATAAACTCTTCAATTTCTATATACTTTATTCATTACTGATACATGTTTTAGCTAAATCAGGTAAATAAATGAATACTTGATGTATTCAATTAGTATGAAATCAAATGATTCATTTAGTAGTAATTTCTAAGTATGAAATAGAGTACATTGAATATTGCCACTTAAGTAATAAATAAAACCATACTGCAAAAAACTGAGATAATGTTTGGAGCATAACGGTTGAATAAATAAAATTTATGAAATAAGACAAAACGAAAAAATTAAAACAATTCAGTATTTCAAGTGATTCTTAGTGATTTG